CATGGCAATTATTCTTCCATATACTTTTTCAACATTTCATGGGATTTTGTTTTCAGTCCACAGAATGGATAATGCAAGATAACCCTAAAATCTGAGAGGTGATGCTCAAAGCAACCCTAACTTTCAAAGATTTTTTGCTATGATCATAACTGCCTTTGAATAATTTTAAAGCCTGCAATTCAAATTTCCTAAATATATTGAGATGAAAATTGTCTTTGAAATAGAAGTATCATCTGGATCCCCCCCCCCAAATATTTTCAAGAATGTTGGTTCAATTCAATTTCTCAGAAAGTGTGCATAGCAGGGTTAAAAATGGCTTCCAAATGAACCTAACCACTTAGATTTTTTTGCAACATTTATTGCTTCTAAGAGGGCAATGCTCAATTCAGACACATTTTGAAAAAATTCTGCTTTGAGCATAACCCCCTAGATGCAATGTTGAAAAATGTGTGCATTGATGATTTCAACCTGTGGATTTGTGGTTCAAACCTGAAAATTTAAATTTCAATTGCAGGGGTTATGCTCAAAGCCAAATCCATTTGCAGAGAACTTTTGCAGTGAGCATAACTTCCTTAGATGAAATGTTATGTGAAATTTGTTCATTCTGCAGGGGTGAACATGGTGTATTTTTGCCAAAAAAATATTTGTTATGTGGAAAGTTTGCTCTACAGCGGGGGGGGGGGGTTGTAGTGCGGGGTACCGCTGTATGCAGATCTGAGCTTTAAAAAAATTGCCAGTCAAATAATATTAAAAATCTTGTTACAACAAATTATTTGTTATAACAAACTTTTTCTGAGGTCCCTAAAAGTTTGTTGTAATGAGATTTTACTTTATATGATTAATTTTCTTCTCAGGAAAATATCCATAGGGTTGATGCATTTCTCCTGTTCTATCGTTGATTGGTTTTCTGAAATTATTGCGGCAATGGGGACTTATGCTTCCAATTCTTTGGTGTGGGCTCCTTGAGGAGGATCTTAATTGTTGTTGATCTTGGTTGAAATGGGTAGGCATGGATGGGCAATTGTAATTGGCAGAATATTGCGCAGGGGATCTTCCTCTGCTGCAATATAGGAGGGTAAATTGCTGTTGAATCCAACTTGTCTTCTTGCTGGTTGGTCATTTCTTTGGTTATTTTGGTAATTGTCTTTTTGTAAATGTCCCATTTTTCCTCACGTATAGCACAATCTGGTTTCTTTTTCTTTGTCTCAAGGATTGGAGAAATTTAATTGTTGTATTCCTTTTCTCATATGGTATACTTCATATTCTTTGGATACTATCATTTTTAATTGTAGTTCTTCAACATTGGAGGCCATCTCCACCGCGTGATCCATATTTGATGGTACTAGGGGGAATTTGGTATATATTGACTTTTTCAAGCCTTTCAGGAATGCATTGGTCATGACATTATCCAGTAATTTCAGTATTCCTTGCATTTCTAACAACTCTTCTCTGTATATTGGGTTAGTGGTGATAGTGGGTTCTTCTCCATCTCTTCTAATCCCTTTCAGTTCACTCAGTTGTTCTCCTAATACCTGATTTCTGGTTCTTCTGATACAAGCAGCATAGTCTCTTACTTGCTCATTTGCTGCTTGGGTGATCCTTTTCATTTCTTGCATTGCATTGTTCATCAAGACTTTTTGGTGGGTGTTTTGCAAGCGTTGTATTATGTGACAATAGTCTCCTTCCAATATTCCAGAGACTCCCAGTAATATATTCATTGCTGGTCCTTGTATTTTTGAAGTAATATATGTCTCATTTGAGCGTTGGATAGGGTGTCAGAGACAGTCAACTTGAATATTGTCCACCACTCATACCACCTTTGCTTTTCTGTTCAGAAAAGAGGGAATATTGTTGATGATGGCATTTGAAGTTTGTACATTGCCAATTGGTCCATATTCTTTATTTTTTTTCATTTGGAAAAAGAGCATTTCTGTGGCACTGGGCCTTTGAAGTTGTACTGTAGATTTATTGTTCTTTAGGTATGTTTCTCTAATTCCTAATATTTCCTTGAGTTCTCATCTTTTCTTTTCTGCTTTGTTCTTGTTCAGTTGCGTTATTATTTTAGCTTGTACTCCTTCTATTATTGCAGATGATTCTTGAATGGCTTGCACACTTGGTTGGAGATCCTCATATAGATCCATCCAGAATTTTTTTATGTTTCATGTGCTTTTAGTAGATTTTTCAGGGTAATTTTTCTAGCTTTGGTTGTTTCTTCTGCTTTCAATTCCTTTTCCACAGCTTCCATTTGAGTGCTGTAATGATTGACCTTCCATTCTGCTTTTTTCACCTGATGGGTAGCTGATAGATGGGCAAATTTGCTAAACTCAGTATACGCGTCAGTCATAATTCCTTGACTGAGTTTGAAATGGGATTCTAGAAGGATTTTGCTGTTACTATCAATTTTGAAATTTTATCTTCTTTCACTCAAGTTTTTTCTTCTTCTAGGAAATTCTTCCTAGAAACGCGGAGATTTTTAATTCACTCCACTTGTTGCTATAGTCTTTTTACTAGGCATGCTGAGACATCTCTCAGGGTTGGTTTTTCTTTGGTTCTTTTGCAGGTTTCTTTTTCAACAATTCGATACAAACTTTTCTTCAAGAATACTTTCAATTTTCTTTCAAAAATTCAGTATATAAACAATTTCAATTACGCTTCTGAATTTGTGTCTCAGGTGAGTTTCTTGCACTAGCTTATTTGCTCGAGTTATTACCATCAGGGCTTTTTACTTTTTCTAGGAACAACCTCTTAGTGCGTTTTTGATTGCCCTTTCTGACACAGGCAGGTGTCTTGGGGAAAACTGGGCAGGGATGCGCCATAAGGAATCAATCAAGATTTTTTGTTGACTCACTTTAATGTATCACTTTTTGTTGTGATACTTGCGCTTTTTGTTGATTAGGTGGTGGTATGTTCCTGATTGCCATTTTTTGGTAATCTTGGGCTTGTGCACTTTTTTGCAGAGAGGAGACAACATGGTGTACTTGCTCTCAAGATTTCAAAATTTCTCACTGACCCAGGAAAGCCTAGCGCAAAAATGTGGGGCAGGTCCAAAAAGGACACTGAAAGGACGCGTCTAATTAAGAGTCCAACACCCAAAAATTTGAACGCGTACAAAAGGGATGCTTTGTGGTCTGGTACATGAAGGGTCCAATGGGGACATGTCCCCAGGGGACGGTATGAGGACAATGAAATGGACACATCCACATTTGCAAGCATTAGGACGCGTCCCAGGATGACCCTCCCTCCCTCCCTCTGTGGGAGGGAGGGAGGGAGGGAGGGAGGCAGAGGAAGGCTGAGCAAGAATTCTTGCTCATCTCGCAAAGCGAGAATTCTTGCTCATCCCACTGAGCAAGAATTCTTGCTTTGCAATGTCTTGACCACATTGAATTTAATTCTTAAAATGTTCAAAGTGAAGTTAATAATGTACATGAAGCAAAAAAAGTGAATTGGACTTATTCCTGGTTTTTAGCTATGCTTTACAGACATTTTTATCAGACAAAAATCCTGCTGAGCAAGAATTCTTGCTTTGCAATGTCTTGACCTCATTGAATTTAATTTTTAAAATGTTCAAAGTGAAGGTAATAATGTACATGAAGGAAAAAAGTGAATTAGACTTATTCCAAAATCCATTGACAAAAGAATTCTTGGGTCAAGATGTCTTGACCTTCTTCCAAAAACTGTTGATGTGGTAATCCTTGCATCACAATTTCTAAGTCACACAAATACATCTCCAACTCATACCTAGAGCTCAAGTATCACTCAATTTCACATTTGCCTCTCCATTTACATTGCTAGCTTCAAGTTGGACATGGGAAAAATTTCATTCAGGAAGGTTGAAAGATGTGATGTTCATCTGCATGTCAACATTTCTCAGTCATACAAGTAGGTCTCCAACTCATACTCAGAGTCCCACTTCAGTGCTCATTTCAAAATAAAATTTAAAAAAGGCAGCAGCAAACAATTATGTGAATGAGTGATGACTAAGACAAAATGAAAAGACAGATTTTGGGCACTTGGGCAGAGTATAGAACAAAATATTCCTCCTGTGGCAAACAATTTTCAGAATAGCTCATTTTGAGAAGACCCAGTCAAGTGGTATAAACCTACAGCCTGTATCATTTCAAACTTTTCTTTCTGTCATCTTTGATTTTGAATTGCGCAAATCTCAGTATTTCTTTTGTTCAAGATATGTGAGATAGATTCACATAAACCTACATCAACTTCAGTTATTCCAGTTGCACCTGTTAACAGTTTGATAAAACCATGTAGACCACATATAAAACCTTATTTGGAAAACAGTTCTCAATGTGTCATATGGCAATGTTATATATCAGGATGCAGTTGTAAGATACAATAATTTGGTTCATTAATGATGATTATTCTTATTACATTGGTTGTATTCATCTATCTTGTGTCTTGTTCTTATATTGTTTCTATCTAACTGTGGACATTCTTGTATAGTGTGTCTATATAGTTTTGTATTGCTTGCAAAGTATCTGGGAATACAATTCTAAAGCATACAAATAAAGATATATATAGTATTTCTCTCCCTTTTACAAATTTCAAAACAACCCTGAAGCACAGAAGCATTCACTTGAGTATTATCTTTCATGCCAGAAAATTCCTTTCTTCATTTTTAGGGGCACCATCTGTTGAAAATGCAGGAGGGTGGTTATTGCTACAAATGCAGTATATTACTGTAGAGCACTGCATGTACAGACATGCTGTGTGTTTGGCGCAGTTGGTTAGGCTGCAGGCTCCGGGTTGTGGGGTTGCGGTTCAAATCCTTGAGCAGTTGTTGTTGATTCATGTATTGTGTTTGTGGTTGTGTGTTACTGTCTGTGTGTGTGTCTGCCTTGTGAGTGTGAGTGTCTGCTGATATAATGTGTCCCTATGATCAGAATAGAATGTGTGTCCAAATTCAAGAGCCTCAAAATTTGTTTAATTCCCACTTTGACTCAAAGCAAGAATTCTCGCTTTGCGGGATGAGCGAGAATTCTCACTCAGCCCTCCTCTGCCTCCCTCCCTCCGTCCCTCCCTCCCACAGAGGAGCAAGAATCCTTGCTTTGCAGGATGAGCGAGAATTCTTGCTCAGCCTTCCTCTGCCTCCCTCCCTCCCACAGAGGGAGCCAGGCCTGCAGGAGGGTCTGGTTTCCCATCATCTTAACTTCAAAAATTTGCCAAAAATGCAATTCTCAACCAAATTCACTTTTCAAAACTGTATAAAAAGCACCATGATGTTTGCTATATTTCCCTTTTTTAAATTAAAAAAAACTTGAAAATTGACCAAGTTACAACAAAAATTGCAAAACTTTTCACATTCCTCCTATAATTCAAAAAATGTTTTACAGTTTTTCTTGTAACTTGGTCAATTTTTGAGTTTTTTCGAAATTAAAAAAGTGAAACACAGAAAACATCATGGCGCTTGTTATACAGTTTTGAAAAGTAAATTTGGTTGAGAATTGAATTTTTGGCAAATTTTTAAATTTAAGATGACAGGAAACCAGACCCTCCTGCAGGCCTGGCTCCCTCTGTGGGAGGGAGGGAGGCAGAGGAAGGCTTAGCAAGAATTCTCGCTTTGAGGGATGAGCAAGAATTCTTGCTCAGCAAGCATGAGAGTTGAGGGCAATAGCGTCTGCAGCAGACGCAGCTCGGACGCATCCGATTCGGATGCGTCCAACTAGAGTCCCATGAGGACATGTCCTCTATCCAGTCTGCAGTGGGGTAAACTGGCCACTGCTTGGTATGCAACCATACAAAGTTGAAATGGACCCGTCCTTGATGTGTCTGGGGACCCAAAACGGTTTTCCTAGGGAGTCAGGTGTTCGAAATTCAATTTCACTTTTTCAAACAATTTTTCAATCTATATGTTTTACTCTTAATGCTAGGGAAACCACCCCAGAAAAACAAAAATTGTTGTGGCAGTAGTCAAATAACAAAAAGTTAAACTACCAACTGCACCAATTTTGTTGTCCATAAAATGAAACAACCTTTGAATATATATAAAAATCTTTTATTCACAACAAACAAGGGTTTGAACAATATTCAAAAATAAAATATAACAGACAAGTAGTTTTAAGAGAATCTTGTTGAATGTACACAAGGTTCTCTGAGATGTAACCATGGTCAACACTAGCTTAAATCTGAGGAATATAAGGTTCCTGGGTAATATATACCTTCATAGATATATAGGTTAACAACCACATTTCACATTTTATTCATGAGTGCATGGACCACATGAAACAAACATCAAATATTCAGCACACAATAACAGCATACATATATATGTATATGCATAACAGTCTTGGAGGATATTTACCTCTGAAATCTGTATTTCAGAGGTGTGGCTGCACGATGGGCATTTGTCAAGGTCAAAGGTGAGGGGGAGTTTTATATTCCTTTAAACAGAACAAAAGCGTGTCATGCTGTTAACATGGGGTGACGTGAGAAGGGAAAACTCAAAACAATGTACAGCCCCAATGGACTGACGCAGGCGTGCACAATTTTTGCTCTCCTGTTCATCTGGGCAAGTTGCTTGAAGGAATTTGGATCTGCTTCCACCAGCAAACCCGTCCAACCCAGGGCCACTTCCATGCAGGTACAACGAGTTGGAACCTGTCCCCTCATCTTTTGCCCCTGCTTCCACAAACGTCCCTCTTGTCTTATTTTTGGCATCAAAAGAAAAATATGCGCAAAAACAATTTTCATGAGGAATGTCTTTTCAAAGATTAAAAATTCCCTCTAAGCTCTGCTCGAAAAAAAATAGCGAAGTTCAGCCAGATTTTGTGTCACTTCTGTGGGGTTGTGGCATGTGGCAAAGCAGCTTGATCCAAGCGTGGCATCCTTGCCCAGGCCCGCCAGCATCACAGAGAAACAAATTGCACCTGGTTTTCCACAGTGCAATAAACAGGGTGACACCACGATAAGAATCAAACTCCACCAAAGGATTTGGTTGGCATGCAAGGCATTATTCTGTTGAGAGCTGTGTTGGGATACGTTTGCCAGGATATGGATTGTCTTGTGTGTTGGAGTCTGTTGTTCTTGATTGAGTCTTGTATATTTGGTTACTCAATAGCATTGCCTGCTTGATCTGTTCTTTTTTTTGTGTGTTGGGATTATACTGCTAAGGGACTCCAATGAGGAGGATCTGGCCTCCTAAAGGCTGAGTGTCTGTTGTACATTCATTTTTGCATTTATTTGTTGACACCAGCCTGACAACTTTGGTCAAAAATTAAATAAGAGGGTGTTTAAAAATATGGTTATACAGGATTCTGCAAAACAGCCTATCTCCCCAGAAATCTCTTGGGACTAGAGCTGACCTTTATAGTTCCCACAACCTTCTTCAAGTAATGCTTCATCCTTCAAGGACTATTTTTAGGAAATCCCCGAAATTTAACAAGGACATTTCTCTCGTCTTTCATTGAAATAGTCTTTGTGGTCAGCTTTGACCAATACATGATTCATTTGAGTTTCAGAGTCTATGCTGAATAGACCTTCTAATAGAGTATATTAACTGATTTAAACTGTGGCATTTTGTGTTACTTGGTCTTGTTTTTATCATCTTATTTTCCAGAAAACTTGATGTCAACTCTTGTACTTCTAAACCCATAGAAATACAGTTGAACACCTTCAAGTCAAATTCCTAGGGACCAGGGAAAAATGTGACTTAGGGAGGTTATCATTTTTTGAGGTTTCCAGTTGAGGATACAAACACTTCTGTTTTGATGATGAATAAAAAAAATCGGATAAAGAAGAATGAGGATATTCTGGGCCAAAACTAGCTCCTTATTATCAGTTTTCACCTTCCTGAACTTGGAGGCAGGAGTTTATTTGCTATTTTTGACTTTCAATTCCTTTTAAAATGCATCAAATTATTTGTTTTAATCATTTTCTCTTTCTTATTTCAAGGAAATAATAACCAGAACTCCTCCAAAATTTTGACTTACAGAGGTTTTAGAGGAAAAAATTTGAGTTAGGGAGGTTTTTAATGTATTGATTCTAAGGGGATTCAGACAGGGACTTGAAAAAATTCAACTTAGGGAGGTTTGACTAATCAAGGTTCACCTGTATATTGACTTTTAACTAGGCTTTTTCAGCCACAGCCCAGCTGATCAAGTACTTTAATTTCAAGCTTGGATAACTCCACTTTTTTATTGTCAAGGTTTCATTCCCAATGACTTCCCACCTTGTTCTTGAGAACAGCAGCCACAATTTGCACTTGACCAAAGGCAGAAATGTCCAAATGGCACCTTTGCATGTTGAAAGGTTCAGAGACCAGAGATTTGAGTTTAATTATTTTTTTGACATCCTTGGTTATTGAAACAGAAGTACGCTTGCCCATTTCAACGTTGATCTCAACATATTGCAGTTTGGATTGATTTCTTTTGGGATTCACATGATTTCAAATCAGGAAACGCCTGTGTATCGTGAAAAGAAGATTCCACGGATGTTCAAATGAGTCTTAGTAAAAATGTATCTGAAATAAAAGTAAAAAAGCAAAATGATATCATCCCTTCATGCAGCCGAAATTAAAAACTATGACCCTCCTGCTGTGAGTGGAAATAAACTTTATTTCACGATTGCATCAGTTTTTTGAAACAGATTTAATTTTTTTGTACCACTCCAAACATCATTAAATCTTGTGAAACCCAAAAATATTCTGGTACTCTCGCAGTTTTCAAAAGAGAATTGAATCCATGTGAGAAAATTAATCACAGCACACAGCGCTTGAAATGTTTGTACTTAAAAAACAAATGTATTTTTCAGAAAGACGACGTCATTTCCAACTTCGGTTATATTCGTGTATCCGTACTTGGTCATAATTTGTACCAAAGGGTCAGCCAAGTGCTCGCATCTCAAAGGTCCTGGTGGGTTGCATTCCGCAAACACCATCTTGAAAAATGAAACAAAAAATAATCAGAGACTAATATGTACAATGTCTTGGTCATAATTTGTACCAAAGGGTCAGCCAAGTGCTCGCATCTCAAAGGTCCTGGTGGGTTGCATTCTGCAAACACCATCTTGAAAAATGAAACAAAAAATAATCAGAGACTAATATGTACAATGTGTGAGAAAAAAAAGTCAAAGATGACAAAAAGAATCTCACAAGGCCAGTTGAATGAAACGTGCAATAGGAATGGAAGACTTGATTTGAAAAGAATGATTTGAAATGAAGGTGAAAGAAAAATGCAAATCTTTTGAATGAGGAGAACAAATTAGTTGGAAGTTAAAAACACGATTGATCAGCCAGGCTGCGGCTGGGACAACAGTCCTAGTTTAAAGAGTTGTATTTTTTGCAGATAAAAACACTTGGTCAAGATTTTAGGAGCGGCGCATAAAAGCTTCTCTGCAAGGAGATCTGCTTGGGTCAGCAATTTGAATGTGAGTTGTAAAATCATCCGAAATTTGGAAATCAGGAAAGGAAGAGTTGAAGGACGCAGATTAGAACTCTATTCAGAAAATGTCCTTGCTGGGCCTGGTAACCAAACTCTGGTTTGGTTCTCAGGCTCCAGGAGAAGCTGCTAATTTTTCTTGAGATTTTTACAAAGCAGAAGAGTAATTTAACTTGATATTGCACCAACTTGTTGGCATGCCAAAGTTTTTTCTAACACAATGCAAATAAAGTATATAATTGTTTTGTACAGAAATATTTGTAGATGGTCAATGAATTTGACAAAGTGCTACATGATTTTGCTTGTGTTTATAATGAAATCAAGTTTGCCAGGCCACTCAAGGCAAGCTAATTGCTGTATTAGAACTCTATTCAGAAAATGTCCTTGCTGGGCCTGGTAACCAAACTCTGGTTTGGTTCTCAGGCTCCAGGAGAAGCTGCTAATTTTTCTTGAGATTTTTACAAAGCAGAAGAGTAATTTAACTTAATCTGGCACTGACTTGTTGGCATGTTGAAGTTTCTTCCAACACAATGCAAATTCAGTATATAATTGTTTTGTACAGAAATATTTGTAGATGGTCGATGAATTTGAGAAAGTGCTGCATGATTTTGCTTGTGTTTATAATGAAATCAAGTTTGCCAGGCCACTCAAGGCAGGCTAATTGTTGAATGACATTTTTGCAAAAAGATATGCCTCAATATATCCCCTTTGAAAGTGCCATTATACACATTCAGACTTTCCATTCACTTATTTGTATTGCATGGAAAATTTGGCCAAGATAGTATGCCAAAGGAAAAACGTCCTTTTTATCTTTGGGTCCAAATATCATGAATGTGTCATCTCCCCTGGATGAGAAGCTATAGTTGCACTATTCTGTAACCTGAAAAATTGTTTGTAACTTGAATAATTTTTTTTATTGTATTATCCTTGTAAGTTTGTTTGTTGTAAGTATTTCTGTTGAGTGTATTGAACCACTTTTTGCTGATGGAGATGGATAGGTCTGACTGCTGCTGCCTCCCTCAAAGCAGATTCAACTGTTCATCCCTTTCCATTAATTGCTGAATGACATTTTTGCAAAAAGATATGCCTCAATATATCCCCTTTGAAAGTGCCATTATACACATTCAGACTTTCCATTCACTTATTTGTATTGTATGGAAAATTTGGCCAAGACAGTATGCTAAAGGAAAAACGTCCTTTTTATCTTTGGGTCCAAATATCATGAATTTGTCATCTCTCCTGGATGAGAAGCTTTAGTTGTACTATTTTGTGACCTGAAAAATTGTTTGTAACTTGAATCATTATTTTTCATTGTATTTAGGAACATTCAAACAAACAACATTCATAAAGACAACTCACATAACTTGGTGAAAAACGACTACCTCTACCTATCCAGACTGACGACGACGGAGGGAGTTTCGTCTAAGTTGACAAGTAGGGAAAGGTGATCTCAGTTTCCCTCAAATGACTTGGTGAAGCCTCACAAAAATTACTCACAGAAATGTCTGCCAGATGCCAGGGAAATGCATCCAAAATGCTTCTTTCCACACCATCAACATCCAAGAAAAGAACATCTAATTTCAATAAACCAGCAGCTTCCAGAATGTTGAACAATGGGTAACATGTGACTTGGAAATGGGTTCCATGCAAGCTCATAAATGAGTCCATCTTCTTTCTCTCAATTTCCAACTGCAGGGTTAGAAATCATGAAACATCATTCTATGAAAGCTGTGCAAGTGTGGAATGTAAAAGAAAACATGTCAAGGTTCTACAGTACACTGTTCTTCTTGTTTGAAGGACTGATACAGGCATGCAATACTCTGGTTCTTCTTTTCAATTTTGTGAGATTTTGAAAACGCTCAGGGTTGGGCTCCACAAGTAAACCAGTCCAGCCCAAAGCCAATTCTAGGTAGAGACTATTGGACTCGCTCAGTCCATTGTGAGCACCTGCTTCCACGTATGTTCCACCTGTCTAAAAATGCAGTGGAAACATGTGAATGGGAAAACAAATTGAGAAAAGTATGAACAATAAAATGTCATACTCTTGAGTAATTCAATGCTGTATACCTATCATTGCACTGCAGATAATTAAAATATTCTGTATATTTCATTCCAATTTTTTTTGCTAATGCTGTAGATGCATTCCAAGGTTTATTTTGGATATGCAAGATATATTTCAAAAACACCAAATAACATTTGTGACATTCCTCAATATACAGTACTGTAATGTCAGAATATGTATGAGTTGTTGTTTTAACTGGTGTGAGCAAGCTAATGTTGGATCTGAAATTCTTGATCGAAGTGTTATTTATATTGAATTAAAAATTTTATGACTACAGTACAAGAGCTTTATGGAGTTATCAACATCATGAAAAATGCCTTTCCCAGAGAGACATCAAAGCAGAAATAATGTATCTTGGGAATTTATCAACACTTCAGTCATTTTGTAGCCAACCAAGTTTCATGTGAAAAAAACACTCACATGTCTGAAAACTGACACCATATATGCATGTCCATGAAAGAACATATGTTTAACGTTTGGAATTTGTAAAGATTTTTAATCCGCTCTGCTTGAGATATTTTTGGTTCTCCCGGAGTATATTGAATATTCTAGACTGGAAGAGTTTCTCGCGAGTCTGACCTTGTTTTTGAAAATGTGGGCCACAAGTTTTGATTGACCCGCCGCAGAAAGGTCATATTGGGGACCCCTCAACTGGAAAGCTCCAGTGTTGAGGAATCGTGCGTCAATCAGTGATTTCAATTCCTTGGAAATCGGATCAGAAACTTGTTCCACTGAATTTTGGGAGTCCCAAGCATGGTAAGTGAAGTAAATAACTACCCCTAAATAGTCCTCACGTGTTTCACCCAACGTAGACGATGCGAAGCCGTATTAGTTCACTTACCTTAGGTAGAGCTTTACTTTGAAAACAGCCTTTAACTTCTCAGACTTTACCTTGTTTTAGGTTTATGACCAGAAAAGATTTGAGGGTAAGATCAACAAAGCAATAACAGCCTATTAACTACCACATGATTCTTCAAATGAATCCTCATCCTCCTGAATGGAATACATTCAATTCAATCTAACTGTGAGGCTCTTATCAAAATCAAAACCCATTTGCGGGAACAGAACGGCTGATTGAGTTTGAGTCCAATAAATCCCCTTACGCACTTCCAGATTCCAGTTACAAACCAAATACATTCATAAATTATAACTTGTAACTCAACAACCTCTATATGGAAAGAAAGACGTGAAAAAAGTACTGAATCTCAACAATCAACAAAGATGACCAAAACAGCAGGCCTTAAATGTATTCCATTGACACTCCTCAGTATAGCCTGATAAATCCTCAATTTGCACACACCATCCAAGCTTTGATATACAGTAGTTCCTAAAGAAATGCCTTGATCCAGAAGGCTCCAGATCTAAAACTCTCCTCCAGAAGCAGGAATATGAACTTGTTTGCCTGATAATAGAAGAGAAATTGACTCCACTGATCCTCTCTCTCTAAGATAATAATCGGAGAAAAGGATTTAATTCCCATCTAATCAGTAGGAGTGCTAAACTCTTGACATCTCACCAGTTGTCAAAAATATAGTTGAGGGGTGTTTAGAAACACAAGATTTGCTGGAATCGGCATAAGGCCAATAATCCTGAAGGAATCTTGTGGGACCAGAGATGACCTTGAGTTCCCACAATCTTCCTCCCAAAGCCTAGAGATGTCCTCTAAATTTGTCAAGCTAAAAAACCTTGTGTTCCAAGGATATCCTTTATTAAAAACGGATAGTTTGTTTGTTGGAAAAACAGTATAAAAGCAATGAGAAATTATATCGTACACACAGTCCAGTTCAGACCTTGCAACAGTCCGACAAATATTTGCATTGTTTTGCAGAAACTTTTTCAATCGGTTTTGGTATTCTTCGTATCTGTTGAGCTCAACTCTTTCTTGTGTTAATTTGAAAATATACCATTTCATACTAGGACTTTGGTCCCGGCCGCAGCCTGGCTGATTATCTCATTTTATTCATCTTATAGTTGTAATTTATCTGGAATTAATCTTGGTTCCAAAAGGTTCATCTTTTATCTTGATTTCACTGCAAAATCCCCATTTGAACACATCAAGAAGAATCCAGCAGATATGATTTTTTCCAGTACATGTAAGTATATACTCTGATCATGTAAGTATATATTCTGATGATGAATTTTTCTAGAAAAATGCCATTCCTTTTGAATTATAATTATACAAATCAAAAAATTGAGAAACCATATCAATCTAGAAAGGATCGTATGAACATAGTCAGAGAAATTCGGTTTTTGCGAGTTTTTTGTATGGAATTTTCAATATAAAATTCGTTTATGCAAAGTTTAACACACACTGACAGTTTTAGCCGTTTTTATTGTTCTGAAAGTCACAAAAAGAAATTCCATCTTCTTCTTGATTTTGAAATCAATTTCAGGTCCAAGTGTCTCAAATATAATTATTTTTTGGGCAATAAATTGTTCTTTGAGTCAATTTTCACCTCTTCTGAAATTCTGCCAACCTATAGATTAGGTATACAGTTCTTTTCACTTTTTATGCTGCTCAGAAGCCCACTGCAAACAAATGTGCAGCCAATCAAAGGGTATCTTCAATTTTATTTCTGCATGACAAAATTTGAGTAAAATTTGCATAACGTCCAATTTATTTTTGATAATGTCCAGACAAATAGCAATATAATCTGGTGGACAAATACCAAAACACTGCAGAATAAAAGCAAAAACTTCTTGGATATGCTCAAAAGGTTTCTCCCACTTCACAGCAGGCTAAAATGTTTGTATGAGAGCTAAAAATCGAAGTTTCTTGATATGTAGAATTTAATGCATTCGTATAATTCTAAATTTTTTTAAATGATTCTTGTGGTGAATCAATTCGTCAAAAACTTGTCAGAATGTGGCAAGATTCTCCCTATTCAACGAAACCTATTCAAAGCCTAGGTTTTACCTGTAATAACACGAGTGACCCATAGTTTTTTTACATATTAAATCGTAAGTATGTAGTTAACTAGTGTCAAGTAAAAGAGTCGAAAAGAGATCGTAAAAATGTCAAGCAGGGCATTTTATCATTTTCAGTCATTTATTTGGAATGTGATGGAAGGGAATTCTTTTTGTGATTTTTGGTTTCTCCGGTGAAATTACATTCCTCTGAACGATTTTAAAATTGAAAGAAGTATTCTGTGTATCTTAGCATTTTATTTTCATCCTCAACTTACTCACAAGCCCTCATGTGATTTTTGAAATAAAAACTTGAAACCAATTTCAGAAATTTCAATCAGGATGCGAGTTCCACTGCACAAATGCTGTAGAAATCTTAAACACCACGTTTTCAGAAAAATTTTCACAGGATTTTCACCGCGTAATTCTTTCCTTTTAATTTTAAATTAGGGTCGATTTTTGATGGACTGAAAACTTTCGAAAATAACTTGTTCAGGTACATAATATATCTACTCTTCTTGCTCCCCTCTGCGTTTGAACGGAAATTGCATAATTCTTTTCACGAGAATCTATCGGCAATAAAGGTCTATAGGACAGAACTGAAAGTGGGATTGTGACGCTTATACTTGAGAGCCTTTAGTTCGCTCAGAAATGAACTGGGCGAGAAAATTAAAAAACGGTTTGCTGTGACTGAATGTAGAGTGAAGAAAACCGACTTCCAGGATATAGGAAATTTACTTTTTTCACTTTGGTCCAAGTTCAATCAACGTGAGAAGCGTGAAATAAATATTTTTGCTTTTATTTTTCACCGGCTTCTTCATATTCTCCTGGACTGTTCAGCTACAAATTGAGCTTTTTCTATTCGAAGATTCAAAATAAATCTTATTAAAAATTCACTGTAATCAAAACAGCAGCCTAATTTTAGAGGTTCCTTTTAGTACAGTGTTTCCCCTCATCTGTGTAAGTATAGCATGATCTGTAATTGTTTTTGGTTGTTTTTGGCTTGTTTTCATGCCTAAACTGTCAGTTTTTTGTGGTTCATCTCTGCACAGTTATTTCCTGAATCTTGAAGTTGACAAAATTTACTCAATTTTTAGAGGAATCTTTTCAAAATTATGAATAAAAAATTTATGTGGGAATGTATTGATCAAGCAATAAATTTCAGTTGCAGTGAAAAAGTCCTGAATGAAACACGGAAAGAGAAATTCTTATTTGACAACTCATGCAAAAAATGAAAACAAATTACTCAATCTATATACACCTTGAAATATAAGTATATGAAGTATATGACTTCTTTCCAAGGCACAGTTCCAAGAATATCCAATTCAATGCCTTGGACATCCAGAAACAAGACATCCAATGTGGTCAAACCTGTGGCCTTCAGTATGCTGATGAGAGGATAACAGATAATGATTAATTCCATCCTACTGTCGCCAGCAACTGGAAAAGAACCACCTTTGACACCAGAACTTCCTCTCTTGCAACTGGCATCACTGTCACTCATCACCAGTTGCACCTATAAGAATTGCAGTAGCTGCATCAAAAACAGAATGAATGGTTTATGCAGCCACACATACTGAACCAATCCAATGGTATACTCAGTTTCAAGAATTTTTCTACCGGTCGTCCAATGTATTGTTGGGGTTTTTAATAAATCAAATTGAATCTGTCTCATAAAAAGTCGACCTTACTGACCACTGGTCGGTGGTTTGTTAATACTCCCGTTAAGACAACTTACCCGTCCATGTCCTGAAGAACTGGTGTTACGTTCATGACGTAAGAAACGTACAAAACCCTTTGTAGAAAACAATATATAGAAGACAATCTCTTAAATGCAAACTGTGTGGAAAAAATAGTTTCTCTCAAGCTGGAAAGTGTATGTGCTTTTGAAATATTTGCCAAGTTAAAATGAAGAAAAACTGTAAAAAGAGTTGAACAAAAAAGTCCTACATGTCATGGGTCAAACAGATGTTGCCCAATGATGGGCCAATTAGCCCAGGCAAACTAGATGTTGCCCAAGCAAAGAGGCATTGGAACATACAAGAGAATGATGTGGCATAGGAAACACCACATCGTCCTTGTCCTCAAAATAGAAACATATTTCTAATAAAAGAGAATCATATAGTCAAAATATACAAACAGGAAGAAAAACAAGATTGTAAAGAAATAACCCACAACAGGCTAGCCTTGGAGATAATGATCTTCAGGGCTTATTCAACTTGAGTGAATCAGCCCTGTGACCAAAGAAATAACAGGAATTCTGTGTGCAAATTATTAGTCACACATCAGTGGAAAGCCTTGGACAAAACTTTCCACTAATGAGGACCAGGACCTTATCAACCACAACTCTCAAGCAGCAGTCACTTGTCTCCAGAGCACCAAATCAAAACGATCAATTATTACTGTGTGAAACAAAATTCTTATTGAATATTGCTGAATGCTTGTTGAAACCTACACATTGATGTCAAGGTACTTACCTCAGGCTGCCAACGGCTGATTGTGTTTTCAACTTCTTTATTCAACATCAAATAAGCAAAATCAAAATCTTTGCCAGAGAGGCTTAACAGCCCCTGACAAAAGTGGTGGCCAGTGAAAAATCAGTTACAGACATTAAGATCAGAGTACAGGACTGTGAAAAAGTCTTGGAAAAATCTTCAAAACTTGGTGAAAATTCCAAACAATTCTCAAACAAATATTTGAAGTGGGTGAAGTTCATAGTCCTTACACCTATGAACAATATCATGCCTTGTGGAAAATCAGCTGTACCCGCCAGTGCTTCCTTCACTTGTACGCGGACCAGTAAGCCTCCATCTTGTTATGGTGAACCCCCAAGTGCTTCAAATAGTGATCTAATTGGTGAAATCCCAGTAAAAACTCAACAAGGAGGTGATGATTTACCACCCCACACACAATTGGCAAATGTGCCAAATCAGAACCAACAAACAGCACCACTGAGCATCTGATGACATGGCAGACTGCGGTGGCAACCCGTCTTTGCACTTCCAAACCCATCACCACCACCATCAGTGATGGGCATCTTGAAAACAAGTACATTGAATCATTTTGATCCCAATCCAACAATACAACAGGTCGTGATCCTTGCACACACCACATACCTGTATGATGAGGCCTACAAACAACACCTAAGTGCGGACACGTTCCAAACATTTGTACAGAAACAACAGGTGTTCATTACGGCATCCATATATTTCCTTTCTCTCAAACAACATCATTTTGAGGAGGCAGAGCAGAATCAGATTTTGCAATTGTGCTATGAGCTGAATGCCATTATTTTACAAATGCCAGAACAGTTACAAACAAACTGGCTCAAACTACCCCCTAAGCAGGCGTGCATTCTTGGCATACAATTTTCTGCTTCACCTTGTACAGAAATTGTCCCCGGCATATTTACACCTGAAGAAAAGGACGCCCCGTCCCTTTATTCCTCCAGCATGCAAAGGGAACTTGTCCCATATCAAAAATTTCAAACACAGTCCCACAGGCTGTTGGAAATAGACGACAAAACCAATCCATACCTGGCGGCATTACACACATATGCATCAGCAACAAATATGCAACAGCCAAGTTTGTCATTTGTCCGCAACTTGGAAAATAAAATGTTACTCCCCTCCTGCAAAGGCTTTGGCAGAAATCCAGAGGAGGAATTCACTTTTGACCACTTCTCGTCTAATTTTCACAAAATCCATATTGTCCCTTCCAAGTTCATCACACCATCTCAAAGAATTGGCTTATTGCTCCTTCATTTGGACGGAAAAGCTAACAATCTCATGGACAGACAGCCAGACAAAACCAGAGAATTTTATTATTGCTGAATCTTGAAAATTCTTATTGAAGAATATGGCAATATCCAAGCCACCTCCCAATGCATTTTTAAAATGTTTGAAAAGCTGAAACCAGAAGGAAAATTGGCAGATGACATGGCAAAATACATGGAAAAGGTGGTGGATATTACCACCCAACTCCACAATCTATGTTCAAACATGCCACAGGTTCACATTTGATTGTGGCCTACTATCAAGTTACACCTGCGCAAGTGCGGACTTCTAAATAGTGTAATGCATGAGTTGGAACTAAATCCTCCTCATTGCACATCAGAGTCTGCAACATGGGAGAATACTCCAGCAAATTGGTACAGATGGATCCAAAAATTCATAAAGACAGAAGCGCCAGAGAATGAAGTGTCACCTACAGCACTTACATTTCTCAGCAGCTCATATTCTAAGCAAATAAAAGACAAGGAGTCCAACAAAAAACTGGACTCCAAAGAGAAGGACAATGAGTCAAAATCAAGAAAACACAAGCATCAGGCATTCAAAAGCCCATGGCGTTCCAGTGGCGATGACTCATCATGCAAGTCTGATTGCCATTGTAAACGTGAAAAGAAGTCCAGTAGAAACCAAAATTGTTCATAAACTCCAGAAAAATTGGAGAGAGAAGGTTGATTGCCTTGTTGCTCCCAAAAAATTTCCAGCTACAAAAGCACTGGATCAAATTATAATCAGGACAGCCAATCAGGATGTCCATTTTGCCAACTCAGACATAAGTCTTTCCACTGCACACTCAGCATACCGGAATGTATCCTAATAGTCAAGCAAAAACATTTGTGCTATAATTGCCTTAGTTCCAATCATTCATATGCCAATTGTGGCAACAGAAAATGATGTCAAACATGCAATCAAGGACATCATTCCTTCCTGTACTACAAATCACAAAATAAAGGCTTTCAAAACAACAATGGATACCAAGGCAACAATGGATTCCAGAATAACAATGGATTTCAGAGCAATACTGGATATCAAGGCAATAGTTTTTGGAACAACAAGTCAAATCAGAACTCATCCCAATCTAATAACAGCCAAAATGCAAACAATTTTGGAAACAACCAAAATCAAAACAACAATGGATGAAACAATGGCAGAAATAACAACAATAATCAGAACAACAGCAACCAGAATAATTGCAACTGCAACTTTGGTAGCTCTAGCAATGGTGGCGCTCAACAAAACAATTGACCAACTAACAAAAATCCTAGAAACTTTGCCTTGATCCTACAAGCCATCTCCGACCACCTACCACTACCGCCACCGGCGTCGGTGCTACTGGCACCAGCAGTTGCAGCACTGGCAGCCATTGCAAACCCTGCATGACTACTAAGGGTGAATGCCGCAACAAGTACGGTTGCATATTCTCTTTTGGAAACAGCAACTGTCAAATTACAACCAAAGAATGTTGAGGTCCATGTGTTACTGGACAACGGGTCACAATCAACCCTGGTAACACAGGCCCTCATTGACTGTTTTCAGCTGCCTACTGTACAAACAGCCTTAGCACATACCATTGCAGGCATTGGCAATGCCTGTCTACAATCAACAACATTAGCAAAATTGCATTTGTAACACCAGAACAAAACAACATTCAACTTAGAAACAACAGCTGTAGTTGTGCATTACAAGAATCCTGGGGGGCTACCAACCCTCACATGCTTTCACAACTTGAGGATTTCAAAAACTCCTTAGCTGATCCATGCCTCCTTACAAGCACACAGATTACTTTTGATGTTGTGCTGGGGGGCAGAGACCTGGTAACCATATACAAAAACAACCAGGATCCATACTGGTCACATTCTACATTTAGCGTAGTGCCATCAGAGTTCGGTCTTGTTGCCCAGGGACATTGGGATAATCCACATCCTACACCAACAGGAAGACCCTCATTGCATGTGGTCTTTGGACAACCAACAAAACATTGAGATGAGGAACTCACCAACTTAACAATTGACTTCCTCTTCATACAAGGGCCAAACCTAATCCCAGAAATTACAAACATATTACTGATATGGAGATTCAGCAAACACTTTGGTGTTGGGGACATACAAAAGGCTTTCATCCAAGTGCAACTTGCACCAGAAGACCAATGGGTCCTTCTAATTCAATGGCCTGAACATCAACCAGATGGACAATACATACCCAAGTTCTATTGTTTTCTCTGTCTCCCATGGGGAATTGACTGTGCACCATTCATTTTGAATGCAGCAGTGCATTACCTTTATCTCAAAGTGGCAAAGGAAAAGATTCTAACAACAAAAGAACAAGAAAACCTTACAAACAATGCATATGTAGATGAGGTTACGAGACAACTCACATAGCGACAACTCACACAGCGACAACTCACACAGCGACAACTCACACAGTGCGACAACTCACACAGCGACAACTCACATAGTGCGACAACTCACACAGTTCTTTTTTTTTTTTTTTTTTACTTATTTTTCTTTTTTTATTCAGGTTCTGGNAGAAAATCTAGACACAAAAAAGGTATACATTTTTGCCAGAACCTGAATAAAAAAAGAAAAATAAGTATAAAAAAAAAAAAACTGTGTGAGTTGTCGCACTATGTGAGTTGTCGCTGTGTGAGTTGTCGCACTGTGTGAGTTGTCGCTATGTGAGTTGTCACTGTGTGAGTTGTCGCTGTGCAAGTTGTCGTGTAATCGTAGATGACGTTGTCATCTTTGGAGAAACGGTTCAAGAAGTCCAAGTAAAGATGGCTAACACAACTGCAGCACTAGCCACAGGAGCCTTTGCACTCACAGAAATCCAAGTTGCACCACTTCAAAGGGAGGAGGGTACACCCCCTCTGGCATACAAGGTTTTGGGCATCAACTATGACCCAACATCTGATCTTATCCTAACATCTCCATTATCCTTACAAATCATTTCTGGATTGCAAACACCTCACCCTGAGACATATCACCGGGTTTGAGGCACACCTCTCTGACATTCAGGGAATGTTAACTCCCTTCACAACATCAATCAAGATTTTACGTCAAAATTTTCATGATGCTCATCCCAATGTTTCTTGGGATACCCGCCTCAGTGAGAAGGAATATCAAGAATGGAAAGATATTGCAAAGCAAGAATCAGCTTGAGTAGACCTCTGCATGTCATGCCTAGCAACTTCTACCCCAGATGAACCAGGGGACATTCATATCTTCTCCAATGCAAGCAATAGAGCTCTTGGAGCAGTCATCTATTTCACTACATGGCAAACCAAACCAGTACCTATGCTCATTTGGGCAAAATCCAAACTGGTTCCCAAGAAACAACAGGAAAAGCCAAAAAAGCAAACAGAGTCAACGCAAATCAATTGCTTGGAACTCTCTGCAGCCTGTTTAGCAGCCAGATGCCTGCTATTTTAAAACATGCAACAAATCTTGATATACATACAATTCATTTCTGGACAGACTCCACAGTGACTCTCAACTGGATCAACAAAAATGAAACAAAACCTACAAAATACGTCACAACACATGTCCAGAAAATATTGGAGGTATCTGTTTCAGCATATTGGAAACATGTTCCAGGAGAAACCAATCCAGCAGACCTAGCATCCTGCGGATGTGATATAGAAACTCTCTGAGCTATGGTGGAATGGCCCAACATGGCTTCCAATCAAAAGCAAGTGGCCAGCAAAACCAATTACAAACGTGACAGCCACAGTTGCAGGGGGGCCTTCCAAAGCCAAACAGGACTTTCTCCATGAAAAAGAGACCATCCATTCTCTCTTCAAAAACTCAAGAACATGGGGAAAAGTTAAAAACATTACTGCAGGCTTACATTGCCTCCAAACAGCTGCAAAACAACCTTCGAAGAAACCTGCCTTACCTAAAAACAAAAAGGGTATATTCACGTAAAAGAACCATCAAACCATTCACACTGGAGGAAATTGAATATGTCCATCAACAAGGCATACGCATAATGCAGCAATACTACAACCATAGGAAATGGAAGAAATTAAGATCAGGAAAAATCCTGCTAAACAGGGCTGATCTCAAATGGGACTTGGCACAAAATGTGATTGTGTAAATCAGTCAACAAGCCTTTGATATGGAAGGGGAAACTCCCCTGACAGAAAAGGCCAAGAAGACTCTCATCCACTTGCCCATTCCCAAGAACAAGCAACCATACCCCCTGTTAAGATCATTCATCTACACCCAGCACATCATTTACAAACACTCAT